TTAAAAATCGACCAGACGAGTGATTTTTTCCAGCTTTCCCGCTGTCTCAAAATGAATATTTTTCTGAAATGAAAATTTCGAAAATTTGTATCTAAAGGAGCTAATAATTTTACTTTTTCACCATTTCTATAATAGTTGTCTCCAAATATGCTCAAAGTCTCATAGAAATCATCCTAAACGCTGATATTTCAATCTGTTCAATCTGATGATATTATTTAGTTCTTTCCATATCTTCAACGCAAATTAAATTGCTGTTTCAAATTTTGCGACTGTTTGTAAATTTGCTGTTCGCGTATGGATTATTCATATTCCCTGCAGGAATTGTCTGACTTAACGGTAAAAGCGGGGATCAACTCAAACACGCTCAAAAGATAGGTAACCTTGTTAGCTTTTTATGACATAGACAAAATACGTATTTTACTGAACGAAAGTCTACCCGGAAATAAAAAAGGATATAAAAACAATGCTTTGTGTGCCATGTTTTAGTGGTTAGTACTTTTCAACGCAAACAAGTAAGATGAATAAAATAATAGGTATTTATGCGAAACTGATGCTGCAAAATTGGCCCTTTTTTGTTCTTATTTCCCATATAAGTCCTTTAGAGTAGGACGGATGACTTTTTGCACTTGCATCAGAAGTTTAAATATAAGATGTTCAAAATTTATCTAAAGAAGTATTCAACATAAAGAAACTAGATTTTTTTAATTTTTTAACCAAAATTAAAGTTCATTGTTTTATCATCAGGTTCCATATTTCACAGCTTCCTTAACTTGTAAAACTAGTTGGAGCATTGTTTAAAGCTTGTATAAATCTTAGACTTTATGTGATAGTTAAACTAGCTAATAAAAACGGAGTTTTTATATATCGTGCGACCTGACTTGAAAACCCGCAAATTACATACAACATAAGAGTTTTTAGAAGTCAGTGCGATATTACTGAGGTATATTGAAGAAATGTTCACCTGAAAAGCAAACGTATTTATTTCATAGTTTTTAACTCTAAAATTCAGCTTACAGAATGTTCGATTATATTATCTCAGATAGAAAAAGCCCCATGACTTCTACAACTTCCAGGTTCTTATCATAAACTGTCATTTGTTTCTAAAACTGCTCACATTTGTGATAAGAGTGCTTTTAACATTAAAACGGAAAGCGCCTTTTTGTAGAAACCCTTGTGATCTCAAGTTACCATTTTCCCTGGTGGCGTAAAAAATATTGGGAAAAGAATAGCTTTCAACCTCACCGGATATAAGAAAGTTAAAAAAATAAATTTAAATAAATTTGCGGATGTAGAAACGTGAATATTACCATTTCTCCAATTCAGTTAAACTTAATAATTATTCTACTAAACCATGTCCTATTGAAAGTTCAAACCGCTAAAGCACTGCTACTGATTAATAAAATATATGAAATATATGAAAGGCGCATTATATCATCATATACTTAGATGTCATTATAAAGTTTCATTTTCGCCATTTATTATCTTACTTGCGAGCAGAGAAACTTTAGATGCATTCTAATTATTTTCTCTAAACTTTCGCTAAACAATGTATTTGCTAATGAAGTAGTGTCAGATCAGATTTATGATTTTACGTGAAGAAACGTCCTCGCCGAAAATGTATAAAAGGCAAAGCGTCTAATTAAAACTTGAGGTTTGCTTGAACTTTATTATCTTATTTCAATAACAGTATTTAATGAGACCCCAATTTCGCTACTTTAGGGCCCTTATCCAATTTAGGTGTTGTAGAAAATACTTTTGGAAAGATCGGCACTTATTTAAAACACTTTTTAACTACATCTTAAGAAAAGTTCGTCAATTAAATCAATTACATATTTAAAAAAAAATACCTAATTCTTTTTCCACTTTTTTCACTTTCCGCATTGTTCGAAAAATAATACGTCAAGTAGGAACTACTTTATTCAATACTCAGATAAACTGATCTCACCGGATAAATCAATCACAAAATCTGACCATATTCATTAAACCGGAAAGGGTCGGGAATATATGAAATATTCAGAAAGAGAAACCTTAATTTTTTCTTTCTGTATTAAATTTTGGTTATTTGCATTTGTGACTTTTGCGGAGAATTCAGTTAAAAGTTGTTTTGTTATTTCTTTTAACGTAGCAGATTCTGAAAAGCACTTTAGTTGATGTAATTAGTATTTATCGTGATTTCTTTTTCTGCAACTTTTCATAAATCTTATTTATATTTAATGATTGTCTCAGTGCTGAATATTTTCCCTATAGTCCCTTGTGAACTCCATCAGGTAAATGCATTTTTCGTATTTTCATGCTAAATCCCCAGAAAATGTCTGCAATAGATAGATTGCACGAAAGCTCTTTTCAATATATATTTTATACACTTATTTGTAGGCCATAAGTGAAAATATAGAATAAAATATCCACTTTACTGGGAAATTCTTACCTAACGTAATTTAGTGTGACTTAGATGCACAGATTAGATTTTCTTATTATTCAGCTTCAAAACGTTTGAAATACTTTTAAAACTTATTTCGAAGGCATTGAATGTTCATAGAGCAAGTTATTAAAACGAAATTGAAATTAATTTTTATATTTGATTTTCTTAATTAGCCTAATAAGGACGTTTTTAATGATTTTAACCACCTATTATTCTCTCGTTTAAATTAAAATCTTAAAAGCGCACTTTGAAATGTAACAGAAATTTTTAGTAAACTTTCAGTCAGTTTGTATTTAATGTTTTTCACTTTAAGCGCTGTATTATATAAATTCGTTAATAATTATTAGAATAATTTTTTGTATTCAAGCCAAATTTCTTGATTCAGTTAGCCCTATTTTGCATACTGTCATCGATTTTGAATAAATTGGAAGTTTTAGGTTCCGGTTACCATTCTATTGGCCAGAATCAAATAACTTCTGATTATACTTTGCCCAAGCTCTTAGCTGACTTGTTATTAAATCAATGCGTATTACCAAATTGGCCTTAATGCTAATTGGGTATGAAATCACATATAATTAGCAGGAAGATGTGGTTCGACATCGGATGAAAGGAAAACAAATTAAACCATATTTATTGCCTTTTATCCTCCCTCTTATTCAGGCGCTGATGTTTAGAGTTTTAAATGGAAGAGTTTCCAAAGCTTTAATTCAAGTAAAATTATTTTTAGTTTCAAAGCTCTCTTTAATGGGCTAAGAAAGTTTCAAGCTCAACTGTATTCTTTGAAAATTTACTTCGAAAGACCATCTTCGAACTCTTGTATTATTCGGAATAAGCTCTTGTATTATTCGAAGGAACACAGAAAATCATCAATAGGAATAAAGGGAATTCCGGCTTTTGTAAATGTAGTGAAGTTGTAGATCAATGTAGCACTATCACTTTGTATGTAACTTAATTAGAAAGGTTTCATTTGAGTTGGTTTATTAGTTGCTTAGTTAGTAATGGTCACTCAGTTTGGAAACTTTTGCTCCAATTTGCTTAAAGCCATTAAGAAGTATCGACAGAAGAATTTACTTAAATCCTAAGTGAAATTGAATTATTAAATACTACAGAATCAATCATTAATTGCATATAAACATTTACAATTTACTGGGGAGAGTTAACTTTTATGTTTCAGGGTCAAAATGTTTAATTAACTCAACAAAACGTTTTTATTTATTCAGAAATAATTTTTGTTTTCAAATAAAAGTTTAATTAACATTTTCTATTGTAGCATTGTGATCTGCAATTGAAAGCCTCCGCATAGTTTTTCATCAACAAAACAAAAAAAAAGTATTATAAATAATCGAAACAATTAATAGTGTTACCTCAAAGCTTAAATTTCTGCAAAGACAAAAAATGCGATAATTTTTATAAAAGAAAATTATTCCCAATTCGACAATCGTTTCAGCGACTTTCTAATCCGATTTGACCGTTAAAACTCTCTCTTTTGTCCTATTTCTATTTGGAGAACGAAGAATTTACATTTGAATCCTTTTTGATTTCGGCAAGAAAGAAATTGGCCATAGGCGATACAATCAATCACAATGGACAAGGCCGATATCGTTAAACTGAAAACGAGGTAACAGATAGAACGACGTTCTTTGATCTTGAAACCGTAAAGATTTATTTACGATTTTGCTGATATATGAGGGATACAATATAGAAGAAAATCCACAAAAAAATTTTTGTTTAGCGGCAACTAATTATTAATTTCGGAGGTAAAAAGGGCAAATTAAATTTAAATAGTTGTAGCCACAGTTGTTGATGTATTGAATGAAATTGTTATCAACTGTGCCACTTAACTAATATTTTGGGCGCAATTTCGATTTTTCTAATTTGTTGTAAATTCTTCTTGTAAAAATTACTAAATGTTCCAGAAGCACTAAAGGTTTTATATTCTTGTAAAATTGCCAAGTGTTGAATCAAAATTAGTATCTATTTTCTAGTTAAGAACTGCCACCAATCTAGATTAAGTAATAGCAGGCAATAGCTTTCCGTTAGTTAATTTATCCGCATTCGCATTTGAGGCAAAGTTTAGTTTTAGTTTGGAAGCTACATGGCCGCAAGTAACTTTTAATCTTGTCCAGACGAATTAAAATATTTTCGAACTAAATTGAATATTAAAATTTGTTATTATTATTAAAACAAAAATTTTCGGAGTGCATTAAAAAGAACCGTGTTTTCTGTTTGAGTATACAGACTTGAATTTGAGATTGTTTAATGTATTTTATATTAAATATAAGACACTAATTTAATTGAACATCGCATTGGTAATAATAACACTAATAATTTCGATGGTAAGATTGTGAAAAATCACGGTAAATTGTCAAATTACAAATAAGAAAAAAAATTTTAATGATTAAAAATTCAATTCAAAACTAAAAATTATCTTTACAAACAAATTATTGGTCCGCTTAGCCACTAAAAATGTACCTGTGATTGAATATCTTCGGACGCAAAAAGATCTTCATTTGTATTTATAAACAAATTAAAGATTGTATTAAGTTGTATAATACTTTTAAAACTTTTTCTGAATACTTACCAGCTACTTCTTGTGCTCACGAAAAAAAAAACAACAATCACTAATGTTTCCAAAAAGTAGAAATACTGGTCAATCTTCAATGCAAATCGCACTGATGGAAAAGGTGCGAAAGTTTTCGAAAAGCGCTACAAATTTCAAAGAGAAACCGTCGCTCTCATCATCAGGGAGCAGTGAAGTCGGAAAACGCGCGAAGTGCACTGAAAGTTTTCCCGAGTCGTTGCGATGAGAGTCGTCCGTTTTCCAGAGCAGATAAATTTGCCACCGCCAGCGATCATGATTGATAATTTTCCTCTATTTAATAATTCTGGGCCTAATTTGCCGCGTCCGCTTTTTCATTAATCCGTTAACTAAAAAACATCTTCTTTATATGGAGCTGCAATGATCTGTTTTTAACCAGTTGGTTTTTGAGGAATTACATTGTGGTTAAACAGAACTATGCAGTTTATTTTTAAAAGAAAGGCCCATAAGTTAAGAGAGTACTTTTTACTATAATAAATAGTAAAGACTAAATATTCAATCAAAGATAAAGTGTCCTGTTTAATAAAAATAACAGTTGAAATGTTCATTTATTTTGTCACTAACCTTGCCTTATTGCTGACTATTAAATAAACAATATTCTGAAGCCACTGCCTGTACAAGTGATGTTTTATTTATTTTCATTTGCTTTTTGACGTATTCGAAATAAAAATTCAAACATTGGAAATGTTTATTTCTCGAATGTAATGAACGTGGTCTATTAGCGGCTTGATAATTGATCTATTTCTCAAGGAAATAATATAAATATAAACCAATTATCTGTTAGATTTGACTTGGTCGATTTTGGCTCGCTTCAGTTATTGGCAAGAATAATTAATTCATAAATAATTAAATTTATTAGTGATTTGTCCATACAGAAGAAGATCCAAAGCCGCTGTAAACAATTTTGCATCAAAACACTAAAAAAGCAGGAGCCAATTATCTACTTAAACAACGTCTAAATTGAAAACTGTCTGAATTGGAAAATTTTTAATCATTTCTTTCAAATGTCTATATCAACGAACTAGATTAGAGCATAAATTTCTATTAAGTGTGAATATGAAGCGACTCATATCAATCATATCAAAAGACCAATTAAAAGAACATGTCCAAGACATGCTGACCATAACTGATGAAAACTAATGGGTGCGAAACCTTTTTTCAGATCATTTTCTGCTTCTGTGTGAGGAGGTGTAGGAAGCGAGTATATTAATGGCTCTTTCAGTATCAGGCTTCGTGCAAAAACTTCACATCTTGTAAAAAATTTATTTGAAAGCAAATGATTCATGAAGCATTATTATTTTTACAATATACACTGTAGCCTATAATAATTTTTTTCTTTGCAGTCCGATTTTATCAACCTTTTTTTATTGCATTAAAAAAAGTTAAATGCAAAAGGCAACTTACGAAAAAAACAGTTAGTAGAGCTCTTAATGAATATTGCTATTGAAGCAGAAATGCTGCTTTATGAAATGAAATATCTCAAGATGTTATACTACATTGATATTTAAAAAAACATATTACCGCCAGCTGTATTGTAAATTTATATAACCGATTGATGATAATCAATGGAACTTCATTATTATTAATTGCACGTATTTTCCACTGTACTGAGCTTTCTCAGAAATTGTATTTTAAAGTTTTTCAGCGTAACTAAAATAATCGGGTCTAAGTTGAACTGAACACTTCCAGCATGGTTTATTTGTATTATGGCATTCTTCCATGGTTTAACTTTAAATAACATTCATAAAAACACATTAATTATTCATTAAAATTTCATGGATTTTATTGTAACCTTAATTATCAACTGCATGCATAAACTGTTGCTTGGAAAATTCAATAAAACGAATACACTTAGTGATGACAACGCAATTATCTTATCTACAATCCAAGTAAATAAAGGCTTCCAACTGAACAAACAATATTACTAATTCATGTAAAAATATCGGTTCTAGCTGCGGAAATATTTATTGGTAAAAGGATGCCAGTCAATCTGCTGATTAACAGATTAAACGATTAAAAAAAAATTAAATTAAAAAGAGATTTTATGCTGTTTCTCTATAAAGGTTTTCATTTTCCAGCTAACAACATTTTCAAAAGATGTAAACCTTCGTCCACTAGCTTAAACGGTTAACGGTTAACAAAAAAAGGAGATTTAAAAAAATCATACCTGCACCAACTCGTTTCAACTTACTTACAAAACACGTACGTATATTTGCTTCAAATATCTCCCTCAAAGATTCACCCAAAAACATGCCAGCTTTAAACACTCATTAAGAGTTTTAGCTCTAATGTGCTAGGATTTTGTCGCAGTCACCATGAAATGCATTCCTTCGTTCTTCTAAGTGTAATTTCTCGGAAAAAAGTTTCCATTACCCGCTTTAATGGATGCGAATCGATGTAAACTAAAGAGATTGCTGTAAAAAATCAGGTCACGTGCATTTAGTCGACGATCAGTACCTGGATAATGGAGAAGAAAACTCAACGCAAATCCTGACTGTCCGATTCCAGTTTTGTTCCAGCACTAGAAACCTTCTAAAGTGCCAATGGGACAATCATTATAATGGTTCTGTTGATACTCGTCAGATTAAAGTCGCTTAGGTGCATTCGGTATATCAAGGGATAAACTGTCGTTTGCACATTCCAACAAACTTGAGTTTCAAACGGATTAATTTGTCACGATTCAACAAAACAGCTTAACAGCTACAGCTTTGAAGCTGTAATTCCATGCTCTCCTATTTATTGGATGGCTCAAGCCGCCATTACCCTTATTCAAATGGCTGCTTAACGGTAGATCCAGGAGTTGTGTGTATCTGATTATAAGCAGAAGATTATGAATAAATGGAACTTTATTGACCGCCAGTTGGAGGATTATCGACATACTTTAGGGCGTTCAATCATAGGAAAGAACTGGTGTGTCTTGTGGATTCGTAGCCGTGGAAATGTTTTGCTTGCGAAACATCAAAAAGTTATTATTTTTGCTAAACTATCTTAATAATCGGTAATCTTATAATAAGTATTTAGGCCGAAATTTTCTTTAGTTTCTAAAGTAAACTTCACTTTATTTCAATCGATTGAAAAGTTTCATTAATTCTCCACTCGACACATTACAACTGCTTAAAGTAATATTCTTACTATAAGAGCTTCTTAGTGTAAAAATGAAGTCACTGTTCATATGAGCGTATCGATCCTCATTTTATTCTCTTCCTTCTGCTTTTTTCTTTTCACTCTTAACTTTTAACTCACTAGATGGCTTCTGGCACACAAAATAAAACACAAAATGCAAAAGAGTTTTAGGAATCCAATAGAAAGCTATTAAAATTTTCGCAATCAAGGATTTTAATTTATTCATTATGCATTAAAACACCTTAGTGCGGAGTGAGACTCTGTAACTTCAAAACGAACACATTTAATTTAAAAAATCATGTAGAAAACTAATATAAAAAAGTATATTTATTAACAATATTCCTGGGGTCAATGTTGTAAATACGAAAAGGGAAGTAACAAGATCCAATACATCAATGGAGCATTGAAGAAGGTTTAAAATCCTGTTATTAGTGGTAAATTTATAGATCACATTATGGAAAATCGCACAATATCGGTATTCATAAATTCCTCCGCAGCTTTAGATGGAATTTATCGTCGGTGGTTGGTTTTATAATTTATCATAGCCATCGCCTAAGACTTGTGTTATTTTATGGCATTGTAACACTAAACCAACACAGATATTAATTAGACTGTGGAAGAAAACAAGCTCTAAATACTGTTCAATGGCTTTTATAACTTGTTTGCTTAGTTTCCATTTATGCACGGGATTCGTATTATGTTGCATCATGTTGTCGCTGTCCGTAACTGACGCAATTTATACACCCAATGGAATTTTCCTTTCAAGTTCATTATATCTAAATAAAGAGTATTTAAAATTAGTTGAAAACCCCCCCAAAAACAAAATTCCTGGTCGTGTCTAATTTTCCGAGTCCAATTCAAACGTTTTTAAACTTCTGCACTGCTTTTTGTTTTCTACAGCCTCACAACTTTGAAAATCAATTTTCCAAGAAAAGTTGTTGCGTGGAAAGTTATTGAAGCAGAAATGTTGTTTTCGTACATTTTGGTATAACTAAGTATACTAAATACTAAGGTGGAAGAACAATTTTCTACATGAAATCCTGCAACTCAGCGGCGCAACAATCTGAAACTTCAAGCATTATAAAGTTATCAACTATCAAAGCATACTGTGAAAGCCTGAAAAAGGCACATGTAGCTTTGAAGTTTTGTCTTAATGGCTTGTTAATTTATTCGGCATAGTTCGACTAAATCTTTCAAAGGTTTGACTTGCTGAGCTGCCTCCAGTGCAGCCAAACAATTCACGAAAATATCTAACATTGCAGAACATCATTCGATAACATAAATGGAGTATCTGAAAAGGATTAATTTAGTGTTTATGCGTATTCTGTGCCTACTTCATTTAGCAAAAGATGTACGAAAAATTAAAAAATTATAATAATGCAGAAACTTTCGAGAATATCACTTAAAAAACATGAATCTTTCAGAGTAAGCACTCGGTGAATTTTGAGGAGTTGGCGTAGTGATGCCAAAATGGCTTCTTGCATTTGCGTTCCAGTCACCCATTTGGTAAAATGTTGCTCCTAAAAAATGTAGTGACCTTTTTTTGTTTGTGTTTGTTGTTGCTGTTGTTTTTGTTTTTGTTGTTTTGTTGTTTGTGCTGAAATTCTAGCCCCGGGATTCGTAAAACTTTAAGCCGCCCCTGGGTTAAATGCTAAGCGTAATTAAAAGTGCGGCACGGTGAGACTTGTTGAGTTATAATTAAAAACTTAGAAAGTGAAGAAGCATGCGCTCTAAAAGTCTTCAAAATTTCTTCAAACCTTTAAAAATTCATTCAAATTACATGAATTCCTGAATTTTGGGAGCTTCGTAAATGCTGATTTGAAAATGAACGCTTTTACGCAATTGCATATTCTTCAATAAAAATTCCTACTTCCAAAGTAAAGCCAGTAGAAACTTGAAAGATTAAGATTCTGCAGAATACTTTTTTTTAATGAAAACAAACTCTGTAGCTCAAATGGTTCTTAAGCAACGTCAAAAAAGGCGACGTCATGTTTCAGTCTTCAGATGAGCTTGATGTAAAAATACAAAGCTGCCCAAAATATTCCCACAGTTTAAAAATTAACTACGAAAGAACCAATAAGTAGCTCAATCGATACCAAATCCAAAGGATGTTAAAATATTTCTTACAAGTTTTCTGAAAGCTGGCGGCCCATCCTCCATTTTCTGCCCATAAATCTTCAAAAAGCTCACTACACTTTTACAAACTGCCGCATTTGCCACAGCGGTCGTAATGATTCTAGATTTTTCATTTAAAAACGCGCAACCATGCGCGAAAAAACGTTTTTTCTCAATGGTTGTTTTGATGTAAATAAACAAAATTTCCGAATTTGTACATTATTGAGGCCCCATTATAGGTCCAGAAAAACTCACTGTTTTCTGTGCTTTATGGTCTGAAAGAAGTTTGGAAGTGGTCGAAAATAAATTGGACTTCCAGATTACTCTTCATTCGAGCCAGCCGCGGAGCCCATATGCCCCAAATCATATTTAAGCTATAATGGCATACAATTGCCTTTTCAATAGAGTCAGTATCATGACGTTAACATGATTTAAGTGGGTTTTATTTCAGTTTAAAGTTCTATACCTCTAAAAAAACACCATTTATTTGGCTCGTTCCCAAAGCCTGGACATACAAATCCTTTTTCTGCATTAAAGTTTAGTCCTAGATTAATAACATTTATAGCTTTTAACGTTTAATTCGTATCCATAGGTTTTACCCCTGAAGCAAAAAGATGGGAAGTTATTCACAATAAATCCAAAGAATTGAAAGAATCCTAGGAGCTGATGCTAATTTTATTGAATACCGGAACCCAAATTTCCATATCTGAAGCGGTTTATGAGCGAAAATGTGCAGATTAGCTTAATATAAAAATACAAAGCCGCTGAAAACATTCCCAAAGTTTAAAAATTAATTGTGTACATTTTCCTGATTGTATTTCAACTTAATTCAAAAGAAATTCCTGAACCTGACCGAACCTTAACCGTAGACCGTTAAAGTCATTAAGCTAACTTTAAATTATCGTTTCTGCCGTGGCTACTTTTATAGTAAAATCATGCTGATCGTAGCAGAAACGATACTACGTCTTATTTTAAACGTTTAGTAGGCGTAAGTGGCCATATAATTACATACATAATATTTATAGGTAAAATAATACGATCAACTCAAAAGCGCAAATCCACACAGTGTTACCCAGGCCTATTTCAGAGTGTATTGTGGAATAGCAACTCGCTTTCACATTTATGTTTAACGGTAAAAGTATGTACAAAAAATCTAATTCTAAAAGGCTAGAAAATGCAGCAAAACTAGACTATAGTTTAGTGCACGTTTGCTCAAAATTTGAAATTTTTAGCTGCTCCTGACTACTGTCTAAAATAGCAATTTTTTCTCTAAATTGCCGTATTCCGCCGCTGTAAGATTGAACTTTGCCGCAATAATGGAGTAGAGTTTGCTCAATTTTGAACAAAAATTGCAAGATCGTAGCTCTACCCCGGTCGAAAATACAATTTTTTTTAAATAAATTATTCATGTAGATGGGAAAGTTGTTAAATGTAGTTTTTTTACATTTTTTTAATAGCCTTCCTTTGCAAAAACACTTGAATTGGCAAACGTAGACTAGAGTTTTACTCACAATTCGAAATATTTAGCTGACCTTGTTTCCAAGATATGATTTTTTTAAATAAACTGTACACGTAAATGTACTAAATCGCCATATTCCGTAAAAATAATGAAATTTGCAGAAAGAGTGGAATAGATTAGATGTTCACCTAATATGAGCCTTAATTTGAAATTTCGTTCTGTGCTTGTTTCCGATATACAATTTTTAAGTAAAGAAGTATGTTATTCTAGCCCCTGATGAAAATATATTCACTCGAAACAGGTTATTTGACGGTTTTGTAATAAATTGTGTATTTTGCGTAATTTTGTAATAAATAAAATGTGGAGGATTCTATCTTCCGAAACTCAATATCGATTTAATTCGGTATTCTAAATAATTCTAAAAAAATCTTGGAACAGCAATTGACCGAGAACAGCTTATGTCTTTTAGATAATGGTAAATATTTTGATCATTACAAAATTGTTCCAAGTTTTGAATATCAAATATATTTGGAATATTCTAAAATATGTTTTCAGATGATAAACAGTTTAATATCTTATTATGCATTATATTTTTATAGGGCATTTTATAGAATTTCCCAGAAAATTGACTCTGGGATCACGTACTAAACATATTTACAAACTGAAATCTATATCAAAAAGAACGCAAGTTGAAAATTTGAGAATCATTAGTGTGGCGCCACCTGAATTTCACTCGTCTAATTTTTTATTTTTCGATGCATAGCACGTTTTCTATTACATTTACCTACCAAACTTTATATGTTTGTAGTGTATATAGTAGAAGCTGTGTACCTCAGATGGGAGCATGATAAAATATAACCCAGAAAAGCTGACAAAAATTTGAGCATTGGCCAAAACCAAAAGGCAAATGAAATTTATTTCAACAAAATACACATTCTGAAAAGTTGTTTATTTTTTTTATTCATTACTTATCTCAAATATCGTTAACATTGTATAATTTGAAAAAGAAAAATACGAACTCAATTTATTTTCAGTATTACTCAGTTAATCCGAGAATTACCACTTTTTCATGAAATTAACTGAAGTTTTTCACCTTTATTAAAAACAAAACTATTGGTTTTAAACAATAAAATGTTTTTTATTTTTGTATTGAAGACTTAGCTAGACCGAAATGTGCATTTTCGTTTTTCTTTTTTGTAGTTGATACATCTTAAATGGTTTTTATAAATGAAGCTTTTGTTGACAAATATTGAGTTTCTTGAAATACCACAAAGTAATGATTGGAGAATTTTACCTATGTATTTTTGCGCTTGTGCATACTTTTAGAACCTCCAATTGTGCTCAATAAATTTTCGTCTGGAAATAAACATTTTCTGGTTAATATCCTTTCCGTCAATGTACTGACTCTATAGAACCGTGTTTACTGCGTTTATTCGATAATTAAATGAGTCAGGCTGTTAATTATAGGCACAATGGTGGTAGCCAATGCCGTGGAAAAACACTTTATTTTCTAATCGGTGAGTTAGATTGAAAAATACCAACAAAAAATTACTTTATTTGTTCAGTCACACTAAACTATCAAGAAAAAAATTACCTTGTTTTTTTTTAAGTTTTCTTGAAACTATTGACTGATTGGAACAATACATATAACACAAAATAACATGTAAGTACTAATTTATACCGCAGATTACAAGCAGCTTGAATTAAGTTCAATACTTATACACTAGTTTGTTTGTCGTTTTCCGGCTCTTAACTTTTTAACTGCTGAATTAAAAATCCGAAATAATAAGCGCAGTAAACAAAAATAACATTTAGGAATTTTACAGGCAAGATTTAAGTTTAAGAGCTTCAGATATAAATATTATAGAATGACCAAACAGTCACTTCCCCTTTGAATATCGGTTTTATAACGACAATTTTCAATCTTTTTTACTATTTAACCCATTCTCATTGCTTTAGATAATTTGATTTTATTCATGCCATATTTAAATAAATTTATTTATAAAGACCTATTTACTCCGTTGTTCTATTATCGTGGAAAATACGTCGATATAACGTGATTCCTGTTACGTCTATCGCACATTAAAGTCACGTAAATTCTTCATTAGCTATGCGGAATGTTTTACGGTACACCACTGGCTTGTGTTGCATTCGACGTGGAAAAATGTTGGATCTCATTCATTTCTATTCATCTCAGGGGCTCAGGAGCGGAAGGTATTAAGAACGTATGTTGCCCTTAACTTAAATTCTCTTAAGCCATGTTTCTGATTTTTTAAGTGTAGAGTAGTTGTCGTTTTCACAGTTATCTTACAAAGTGCGCGTTCATTGTCAGGTAGAAGCGAAGGAATTTAGCTAGTTTCCTCTAGTGGATTAATTTGTATTGATCAACAAGTGGTTGTTGGTATTGATTTGCGTTTACATAGTTCAATGTGTCTAGAATTCTAAACTCAGGTAAGTGCAAAATAACTGAAAAATGTTGAGGGAATTGTAATAATTTAGAAGACAATGGCTATTTGTGAGTAATGAGTGCCTTGTTCCAACCAAGAGAAATCAATGGCCATGTAATTGAATTAAATACGGCTCCATCCATTGGCGCAACAGAATTGGTAAAATATAGTCGAAAATAATTTGTTTAATGTACGACGAATTCAGTCAATTATTTGTGCTTGTATGGGATTATTTTGGGTCTATTTTTTTGGCAGGTTTCACTTTACTGGAAAATTTATCTTGCGTCTTAGTATAGTCAAAATTTTTTTGTTTGATTGTTGTTGTACAATTTCCAGTTTTACGCAGGCATTTATGTTCAAAAATTGAGTTCTAAAAATCAGTTTTTGTTTGCTGTGGACATGTTGGGTTTAATATTGAAATTTTGCGATTTAAAGCAAAATTTCAAGTTTTTGGATTCTAAAATAATTGAACTGAGTGAGTTAATTGTCCAAATTTTTAGTTTATTTAGGAAATTTATAGCATTTGAATCTCCAAATTTGAGCTATTTATCAATAAAACTTGTTTAAACTTAGATTTGTTGTATTTGAAGTGGAAGCTTGTAAAAGAGCGGTTTGGACTAAAATAAACTTAGGAAGACAAACTATGAATTTTGAAACTGGTTATTTTGATTGCAAAAACTTATTTTCTTAATCTACCTTATAAAATATTGCACTAAAGCGACTCAAAGTAAATATTTGATAATCGTCTACGCAACAGTCAGACAATTTTGTAAATTTAATTTCATTTGAATGATTTTCAATGTAGATTGGCATTTCAGAAGACAGAAACATTTTTAAAATAGTTGAAAAGATTGAATAAATATAAACTCTGTAAATAAATATTTCCATATAAAGCCCACTAGAGAACGTTATTTCACTTCAGAAAATGAACGGAACTGGATTTGTTTGCCAGAAAACTTAGCAGCTAAAATTATTCAATTAGAAGAATTATTTAGTCTGCAAATAGGCGAATTATCAGAAATTTTGTTTTAGGGTGGTGGACTCAAAGAAACTCTCTCCCTAATTGATCTCTTATACAGATGTTCTTTATTTCAGCTAAAAACTATGATCAAGGAACAATCTCCACAATTTCGGCTACAATTGCAGCAGTTGCTTTAGGCATGTTTTCACATTTCTGAATATTTTGTACAAGTTTGCTTAAACAACCGGGAAATAAATTAACTTATTTTAACTGAAACTGATTTTTTATATAAATTTAGTTGAATACCGCTGGAGAACCTCGTTATGGTTCCCATTGAAAAAACCCTACATAATTTACTTGAAAATATCTTCCAAAAATTATCTTTTGATCAGATGTGAGTTTTCTTAGGAGCAACAGTAACTGCATAACTACTTATGAAAATTATACTCTTATTTGAACTTTTCAGAGAAAAAGTGTAGTTATTGCTAATGTTCTAGTTTATGATATTATTGGGTTTTGAGTGCTATCCATGTCATTTTTTTAATAATGATTATATGGACGATCAAAGACGCAGTTCGCAAAAAAAAATTGTAATCTAGTAAACATTTTTATTTTCAGTTTTTTTGCTGCTCAACTAAATACGTAATTTATAAAAATGTGAGAAAAAGAATTTTTATGAATATAGAATAAACCGGAAAAATTAACATATTTAAATCTGCAATTTAGTTATTCGAGTTAATAAACGTATCAAATTTGTAAGTTTGAGTGATTATTTTAGTTTAATGCTGTAAGTAAATAGAAGGCAATAAATTGAAACAAGAAAATTTCCGCAGTCGTTTTTTCGAATAATTCGACCTAAATCCATATCAGATTATTTTATTTCAATTTTTTCGGCCGTAATGTTCTCGTTACAGCCTGCAACATATCAAACTTCTTGAAAATATCTGTAAGTTTGTGTATTCACTAAACCGATGAATGAGAAGTTCGAGTTTAAATTTAAACTGAAGAAAACATGCTTTAAAACGAGTAAATTGAAACGTCTCGCTTACCGTACGAAACCTCGCATGTTGTCGATTAATTATTTACAACCTTTTTAAATTGCCAACAAAAATTTCCAGAAGTCAATGTGTCTTGAAATACGTGCTAAATTTCAATTTATCTGATGAAATATTTATGGCCCTTCAGAAATTAGCAGATTAAAAGCAATCGTTATTTGTTTTGCAACAAAATGTTTTAGTTTCTCTCAAGAAATTAACTACAATTGTGTGTACTCATAATACTTTTTATAACTAACTAAATTAATAATATTAATTAACACAATATTAACGACATGTAAGAGTCCAAGAAGATTTTCCAAGTTTATAAAGAACCTTTAGAAAAAAGTGTCTGAATTGAGGAAAAACCTCTAAAAATGGGAATTGTTGCAACTGAGGGTTGGATAACTGTAATAAATCCTAAATATTTTGAAAAATCCATTATGACCAAAGCAAGACCTACAGAAAATTTAGTATTTAGTACAGCCAAAGAACTGGAAATAGTACTAATCTATTTAACTTGTAAAAATAATTTTAAACCCATCAAATCTAGAATAGACATAAAACCTCCTAAAATCCTGCTTTTGTACACTTTTTGAGACATTTTTGACTATTGCTGGTCTTTGACACTAATTACAAATCAGGAAATGGCAATGCCAGTTAAATTTGACTTTAACAACGGTTTCCGCTAATTTTGAAGCTGATCATAAAACTCGATTACTCGCAAATCAATATTAGATAGAACGGAGTAAAGATAACGTCATTTTTTTTACTTGTTTTAGGAAAATTATCAGTACTTTATAGTGTGATTAGTGCGTGGTGGGGATATGTAACTACACCTACAATTGGTGTGCACTTATTATGCTTCAGCAAGGTTGTAATTTAGCAACGACTGCTGGCCAAGAATTGTTCCAAGGCTGAATCGACCACAGTATACCAATGTGACTAGATGATAAACAATTTGTCATAAAATCAGAGGAAAATCCATATAAAAACACTTAAAATGGGATGTTGTTTTATTTGTGACGCGTAAGTATTACATGTTTATTCATATTTTAAACGACACCAATATTTACAATTTGTAATAGAGATGGTTAACAAAATAAGTGTTGTTTGGATAATTCAGAGAATTAAAAATATGGCAAAAACAACTTTATAACATCTTTGTGGGCAGAATACTATATAGTGGAGAACTTATGTTGTAACGCAAACTTTTAACGTTTGTTTATACAGTCATTTATTACTGGTGAATTTTTTTATGAAGCAGTAACCGCGGTAAATTAAAATTCTATTTTTAAGTGTAAATTTTCGATTTTTTTAATAGAAATAAATCGTTTATGTTGTTCAAGACCGGTTACTGTTAATGGGAACACATAACTATTCCAAGGTTCCATTTCATATAATTCGTGTGTTAATTATAATTAAAATTAACTGCTGGTTTTTCATGAACACTGACTTATTGTTCATTATGAAAATTTTGTCTATCGACACACAGTACCCTAGAACCCTACCATGTAAAAATGGTCCCATTCTGTTAATTTAACTTTTAAGTTCCACGTTTCCATCCAATATTTTATCGGACTTCTTGTTCTTCTGTACACTGTAAACATGTTTTTCTATTTGTAGTTTTTTTGTTTTTTTAGATTATCCTGCGTTATGCGGATTGTCTGCCTCGCAGTCCTACTGGCTATTATTTTAGTTATAGTATTCGTCGCCTTACTGGTAACTGGCAAAATAGAACTGCACAAGAAGAGTTAATATTATGGTGGTCGCGGTTTAATATAAAACAATTGTGCAAATATGTTTTTTAGAGTTTTACATGTATTTATATGCGATATACTGCGAGTAGGCTAGGTTTTGTATACATTTTTTACAAGAAGGTAAAGGCCGCTGCAATGGTAAGATTCTACGTTTACATAAGGTACTTGTAATGTACTTATAATCATTGCGAGCATAAACCAGACTTTAAAACTAGACAGCATGTAACACTTTCTCACACCATGTGTTAATATTTTCTAAACTATAACACGGTCTATAAATATGATAGGAAACTGCTTTTTATCTTTCGCTTCTATTTCAACTGATTATGTTGAGATTGATGACAAACCTTTCGTTCCGAACTGAACTAACTTGCAAGCAACTCTTGGCTTCAGACACAGCTGTAAAAATCACCACATCGATTTATGTGTCTTCTAATGCAGAATTTGTGTTTTTGAACGGGGAGTTTGATGGTGGATCGTCACAATCATTTTCCAACTTTAAGGGTACCGCCGTAGGTTCCTTTAAACTTGTAGCCAAAGCTGTCTTTGTAAATGCGCTGCTTCTCAGCTGTCTTCTAACGTAGGTTTGATGGTTTTCATTTGGTTTCAAAGGTTAAACAAGCGATAAAACTTCTATAGTCAAGTCGTTCATGTCTGAGAGTTTTGTTGTGCTATTTAAAGCTAGTACTTCTTTTGTTTCTTCGAGAGAATTGCCGTTTTGGATGGCACGCTGGGTAGTCTCATCAAATGTGGTTCGACTTTCCGGAGCATTCTGCTCACTTGTAGGGCAGCTGAAACATGGGGTGTCGTACTTTCAAAATTCTGGTTTGCCTTTTGTGTAGCCTCATTAAAAATGTTAACGCTTGCGATAGACTTAATTTTTTGTGCATCAGTTGAATCCTTCAAAACCAAGTCCAAGTGCGTCAACGGATTTGAATTTTTTTAAATTACATTGATGTCGATTTTCAGAGATTAACGTTTATATTTCATAAAATCATATGTTGTTTATCTAGTCCTGCCCATTATTTCAATAGTTGTACAAATTGTTTTAAATATATTTTATATATTAATTGCTGTTTAATATAGATACAAATCAAATCGATTGAAAGTTGCACAGATGAACGTTATGTGACTTGTCGGGCAAATGCGCAAATCACGTGAAGATTATTTAATAGTGTTGAACATGTCAAAGAAAGGAAGGATTGGAAGGTTTTCCTTCGATCTTATGTTCGCATTCATTTAAACACCGTTTTTTCGGGGTTTGAAAGCTGGATTTAGCTTCTATGTAGTAAAGATATTTCGGTATACATTTTATTTGAAATGCCCTCAAAAATGTGGAAGAAATATGGAAATTCGGTTGACATCAGCATGTAATTTTTAAGGAAAAGTGTATTGTAAATTACTCGTGTTCCTTAAAATACCTTTGCGTATTCCAAATTACCAAAAGTAAACGTGTAAAAGTTGAAATTTGTGATAACAGAAGGGCATAAATTAATTTAAATAATGTAAAAGTAAACTGAGGAAATTCTAACGGTTTCACCAGATGACTTTTTGTTTAAAAAAATTGTTCAACTATGGGCGAAGGACGGTTAAACGTGGACGTTCCAACTCGATTAAACCGCCAAACTGCTTCATTCAAATATATATATATTTTTAAATGATTTTTTCGTACATAATCAAAATCAATTGTAGCCAATTGAAAATCCAAGAAATTTGGTATGAAATCAAAAATTTTATAGATGAATTTTTTCAATTTCTTACAGACCCGTATTCGCCAAGTCTCAAGAAGTTTGATAACGTTGGACGTATGCAAGAGGATTCATTGAATAATTGAAAAAATGAAATTGTTGAATTTTTATTGAATCTGCTTTTGCACATATGAATTAGTTATTTTGCATATACCAAGTCTTCATTTCTATTGTTCTTGTTTCTTATATATTTAAATACATTTCTCAAAACACATTCAGAACCTTAGCGTGTAACCCAATGAATAGTTTAAAAAGTTACCATTATCTAATTGCATTGGTAACCTTTGATATTAACCAAAAGTGGAAGTATGAAACGAAATAAACGTTGCAAGGATTTTTTAAAAACAAATTAACAATTTTTTTAAAAAACAAAAATTCCATGAAAATTAAATAATATATGTTTCACTTTGTAAAATAAGTTATTATATAAGCAAATTCTATTATCGGTTTTGTACTTATTTTCAAGTAACAAATCGAGTAGATTCAAAAAATATAACTCTTAACGGTCTTGGGTGACAAATCATGAAAACCAACATAGAATTTAATCAATTTTATTTCTCAAAACATATAAATGCTGAGTTAGGAATGAAAATAGAAGACATCCACGAATTTCCTTGGGCTAGTACACGAACGCAACTACATTAATAAAGCAAATGACACCTAACAAAACCGGTCCAAAAAAGTTCATTCAGCCCGTTTACTTCAAGGTTTATTTGTCGGTAAAATTTTTCAAAAAGTCCTCCGAATCCTTGATAAGTTGGTGCAGGCGCTCCTTTGTGGCAGAAGTTTGATGCTCCTTCAGCTTTTCTTTGGCAATTACGATGTTGCATCGATAGCCCGTAACATTATGAAAAACTCGGATTTGTTTATCGGCCGCCACCAAAACGTACTTTCCAGAAGCGTCGAACAGAAGTCTGGTGATATGATCTAAAATTTTAATAATTTAACGGTAATATTATTGAAAAAATTATATAAATACCGTTTGATATGTTCTCGATGGTACAATCCAGTTCACCAGTGAAGGTGGAGAAAAATTGAAGAGTGTTTGCAGTAGCTGTTACTAAAACTTCGGCATTTGGTGATAAGGCAACAAGTGAACAATTGGAAGCTAAATCATACTGTCCGGTTTTATCCAGTCGTGCGTCCTGACCTTGCTTATAGTTAACTGAAAGAGTGTTTAAGCTAATTCTCAATTTCCAAGTTTTGGTTTGCTAAGCAAATACAAGGTGAACGAGAAATCATCTTGGTGTTAACTTTACTCTTATAATCCCATCAATGTTTTACCGTTAGTATCAAAAAGTCTCCAGGTTCCATCTTTGGAAACAGTCGCCATATGAGATGACTGGACATCGAAAGCCACATCATATACTCCAGAAGTATGACCGCCAAGGGTCAGTTGAGGCACTTGTTTGGATTCTTTAAATTCTCCTGATTTATCGAAAACAACTTCCCATATTTTTGCTTCAGGGGTAAAACCTATAGATACGAATTAAACGTTAACATCTATAAATATTATTAATCTAGTACTAAACTTTAATGTAAAAAAAGGATTTGCATGCCCAGGCTTTTGGAACGAGACAAAATAAAGAGTGTCTTTTTAGAGGTATACTAAATAATAAAACACACTAAAATCATGTTAACGTCATGGTACTGACTATATTGTATGCCTTATAGCTTAAATATGATTTGGGGCATATGGGCTCCGCGGCTGGCTCGAATGAAGACTCATCTGGAAGTCCAATGTTCTACCAATTCCAAACTTCTTCCGCACCATAAAGCACCAAAAACAGTGAGTTTTTCTGGTCATAATGTTGTCTCAATAGTGGCTTCTGGATTTTCGTCGCTCCAAATTCAGTAATTTTGTTTATTTACAACAAAACAACCATTGAGTCAAAAACGATTTTTCGCGCATGGTTGCACGCCTTTAGATGAAAAATATAGAATCATTATGACCCTTATGGCAAGTGCGGCAGTTTGTGAAAGTGTAGTGAGCTTTTTAAAGATTTATGGGCAGAAAATGGAGGATGGGCTGCTAGCTTTCAAAAAACTGGTAGGAAATATTTTGACATCCTTTGGATTTGGTATCGATTGAACTACCTATTGGTTATTTCGTAGCCATTATTGAGCCGCCATTATATGCAGAAACACTCACTGTTTGATGTGCGTTTTATGGTCTGGTGGAATCAAAGTGGTAAAAAATTTACTTAATACCTAATACTTAATACTTAGACTTAATTAATTAATAACTGGAATAATTCAGGAAATCAGAACTTTTCAGTCATTTTTAATTAGTTGAAATTTCGTTGGTTTTTCTCATCGCTTGGAAATTGAGCAACAGTTTGATTTTTAAGTGATTTCTTCGCAGTTTTTTGCTTAGTCAATATTTTTAGAAAAACAAAATTTATTCGGTTATTTATAAAAACGTCTCCTACATCATGTCAATCTTTTAAGTTTCTACTGGCTTTACTTTGGAAGTTGGACTTTTTTTTATGAATGGTATGCGCGCAAAATTTAGGAGTTATGCGGTTTTTCCCAACTTTGCCCATTTCAATTGTAATCCTAATAAGAAAAATACCACCGTGTATGTTGTGTAGTTATCTCCTCAAAAACTGAAAGACTTAAATGATTTTCAACTTTGAATTCGAGTATTTGATAAATAACACTTTTATGTTGTAGTAAGTACACAATAATGTTGCATATGAAATTTTTGTTGTATCAAACATTAAATGAAAATTAATATGAGGAATATAAGTGCTTTTAAAAAAGAAATACGAACAAAATATGCGAAGCGCTAAAAATACTTTATCAAAATTGAGAAAAAATACTTAATTTTTAGCACAATTACTTAGACTGATTCAATATTGAAAATACTGTATTAACTATTCCTGCCATTTGATATTTCAGAAGGTTAAAATAGTATAACCGATTTCTCAGTTTACAATTTAAGGAAAACAGCAAGTTTTCTAAGCTTTTTTTAGATCTGAAATAAACATGTTATTTAATCATTAAATGGTATTAAATGTTGTGCAAAAGTGCCGATTTTGAACTATAATAAAAAAAAATTAAACTGCCGCATCCAAAGCTAACAAACCGATCCTGTTTCGCGGCAAATTCCTTTCATTGGAACAAATTCATCAGAACACCGACAGACTGATTTTCTGTCGGCGTTTTGACGAAACATCAAAGGAATTTTGCCGCGAATCAAGCTCGTCTCAGGCTCGGTTCGTTAGCTCTGGACGCACCATACCGGAAAATAAAAAATAATATGAAAAAATAAACTTGGAATATTTCTCTATTATTATAATGTAATAATGCTCCATCTCAAAAATATATAGTGAATTGATATTAAAATGCCTTTTGACATTTAATTTTAAACAAAAAATTCTTCGTTTAGGGCGTAGAGGGTATCACAAGTTTAAGAAAAACACCGATTCTTTTTATTCAAGTTTTCGGAAACGCCAGTTATATGTTTCCAGCATTTTAAATGAATTTTTTGCTTAAAATCAACTTTTCTATAGTCTGTACGCTATAACGTTATAAAGCATAGAACCAAATGTTTTTTATTTCGGTTAAAACACTAATGACCGATTTCGAATCTTTAAAATTGTATATTTTTATTAAATTTTTAATAACTACCCTGTAGAACCTAAACAAAGCGCTTTCGGTTTTTGCAATAAATAAAATATCTGCATGGTTCTCATATGGCACGCTAATCCTACTCGCCCCGTATCAATTGCAAAAATAAAACGTCGCCGCTTATAACAGAATTTTTTCAGTTTAAAATGAAATCGTATCATATTGTTTAAACACAATTTTTCCAATATTTTACTCATGCGAAAGTATCCTTATGTAACCAAATGGGGTCGTTGCACATTGTTTTTTCTTTCATAAAATTGATTATTGACGTACATATAAGAGCCCTACATTTTGTTTTCACATTCGTAACAAATCTATCAGCAGTCAAAGTTTAAACTTACACTAAGCGCGCCGGAACGACAAGTTTTGGCTGATCGTAATGTGACGTCACGAAGCATGATTGTGCTCCGCCACATTTAGCGCCTATACGAGTATTGTGTGTTGGTTTGCTTGTTTCTCAATTATTGAAATTAAAATGGCTTATAAGTACTGTATGGTGCCACAGTGTACAAGTACCACTACGTCCATACCAGGAAAAACATTTTTCCCCAAACAAAGTGCCATTGAACGAAAAGAAACGGAAGATGTGCTTGAAAGTAGCGCGGCGAAACTGCACCGATATTTCTGCAAAAAGTAACATTTATGCCTGTGAGGATCATTTCGATGTTCGATGTTTCGAAGTTCAC